AGTGAATACCCACACAGACAGGTATGCCAGTACCTTTATCTTACTGCACCCATTCAATGTAGATGACCTATTTCTTCCTGTAAACCTGGACCAATATGCTGACCTTTGTAGTGTCCTTGCACAACATGAACTACTTCATCCTGGTGGATGGGCATGAACTAAACATTCCATTTCTGCTGCAGCTCCTTGGAAAGATGGGAAGACATACTCTTCTTGCAAAGATGGGAAGGGGAATTGAAATGCCTCTTCCAGTCCAAAATCACAAAGGCATTGAACTTCATTAAAAAAAATCATTTTATTGGGGCTCTTGTAGCTCTTAAAACATTCCACATATCAATTGTATCAAGCATATTTATACATAGGCTGCCATCATTTCCAAAACATTTTCTACTTGAGTCCTTGGTAAAAGCTCCTCCTTTTCCCCCCTCCCTTCCTCACCTTCCCACCCTTCTATATCCTTGATCAGTGACATATTCTTATTGCTACTTAGTATGCATTGTCTCTGTACACCAACATTTCTGATATTCATCCCCTTCAAGGGGGCAGGGGCTATATATCCAATCTTGTGATAGGTTCCCCCTTTCCCATCGTTTCCCCTCTCTAATCATCCCCCTAATCTCATGATATTGCTACTCCTATTACTGTTCCTGAGAGGTTAATCTTTCCTGAATTCCATGTGTCCAGAGCTCATATCTGAACTAATGCGTGCTTTCCGTCTAGCCAGATTTTTAAGTTAGAACTGGGTCATGGTAGTGGGGGTGGGGGATAGAATTCAGGAACTAGAGGAATGATGTGTGATTGGTCAATGCTATAATACACCTTGGTTGAATCATCTCTTCCTTATAACACTTCTATGGGGGGGAGATATCCAATTATCTACAGATGGGCTTTGGGTCTCCACTTCAATCCCCCTCTTTCACATCAATATAGTTGTTTGTTTCGGATCTTTTGATACCTGATGCCTGATGCTGTTGACATCTCATGATCACACAGCCTGTTGTGCTTCTTCCATGTGGACTCATTTGCTTCTCTGCTAGATGGCCACTTGTTTGACTTCAGGCTTTAAGACCCCGATGCTATATATTTTGATCACCAGGCAACATCCACTATCTTCACCACATATGCTTATTCACCCATTTTGTCTTCAGAGATCGTATCTGGAAGGTGAATATCAAAGAGTTCCAAGTTATCAGAACAAAGTTGAACTTCATTTTGCCTGCTACTCCTTCAGTAAGGGCCCACAATAAATATTTGTAAAGACTTATTTACAGCTCTGGAAAGCGTATGGGGCCAGTTTAGGAAGTTATAGGGTAATTAGGAGTGAAAATCTACTCAAAAGAAATAGGTTTAAATTTGGGTTTTGGTGAGAGGAGATTAATAAACTAAACCCATTACCATTGAGTCAATTCTGACTCACAGTGACCCTATAGGATAAGGCAGAACTGTGCCTGTGGGATTCTGAGGCCGTAACTTTTTATCAGCGTAGAAAAATCCTACGCTTTGATCCATGCAGACCTAGAGGTTTTGAACAGCTGATCTTGTGGTAGGCAGCCCCACAAGTAACTCATCAAGTCACCAAGGCTCCAAGAGATTAATAGGCTGCATCACAATTTGACAGATTGTGTAAACTTTTTAAGTGTCCACTGCATAAAGGAAACAAGCAAACAAAATTAAAAAGTGTACAAAATTATTTACAGATTTGTGAGCCTTCAAAGAAACAAACATTGACTAACTTCATTAGATTGCAAAACCGTGTCCTATGAAAATTTCGTGGAAAAATGGAATCAAACACAGTGGAACTTTTTCCATGAAATTTTTGAGGTCCAATTGGAATGTTCTTCTGGCTTTATCCTCCTACCCTTCAAGAAGCTAATTATCAGATGACAATTTGGAAAAAACTAACAAAAAACTTTCAAAAACACAAATGACCAAAGCAATACACATGTCACAGAGCTAATTGTATGTGACCGTGACAGGTAGAACCCTGGATGGTTTTACATTTTCTGGCTCTCTCCTTACTATTCTTCCAAGCAGAATTCTGTGTGTGTGTGTGTGTGTGTGTGTGTGTTGTTAAATAAATAATATCAGAATAGAAATACCATGCAAACCATGGGAACAAATGTCCTTATTTATTGGCATTATGAGAAATGAGCTCATGATGTATTTTAATTGGAACAAACTTCATAAAGAGATTCTGTAGCCTATTTGTTATTGGCAACTAATTTGATTTTCTCTGGACTCTTTTGATAAGTGGCCTAAATTTGAAATCTGTTTTTTCCCCCACTGACCACCTGTAGATTATTAACCTCCCTGATCATCTGAATGTTCTCATTTTAAATAGTAATGATAACAGTAACTATATCATAGGGCTATTATAAGGATTATAACTTCTGTATTTTAATAGCATTATTGTGGTAAAATATACTCAACAAAACTCATCTGTTTAAAATGTGAAATTCAATTAGTTTTAGTCAATTTTGATGGGTTGTTCAACCATCACAATTCCATTTTAGAACATCTCCATCACCTCAAAAGCATATCTCTTATGCCCACGTGCAGTCACTCTTTAGTCCCAGGCCATCCAAAACTCTAAAAAGTTAACATTCATCAAGTACTTAGGATATGGTTGCTGTTGTTAATTGCCACTGAATCTATGCAGTTTTTCAAGGCCCTGACTTTTTAGGAGCAGATAGTCACAGTCCTGTCTTCTGAAGCAACTCTGGGTTGGGGTGGGGGGTTAGGGGGTTCAAACCACCAACTTCTAGTTAGTGATTAAGCACTATCGTAGACTGAATTGTGACTCCAAAATGTGTGTCAATTTGGCTAGGCCATGATTCCCAGTATTGTGTGGTTCTCATTCATTTTGTGATCTGCTGTAGTTATCCTCCATTTTCCGTTTGCTAAGTCCCAACCTCTATCTGTTACTGGGAGGTTGTCACAGGACTGGGCTGTATTTAATTCTGTTGTAAATAGGGTGGCTATGAATTGGAATGGTTGTGTGTCACCTAACAGTAGCAATATATGTAATAAAATTAGTGTGGGGTGTATTCTGAGTTGTAGCTTTACAAGAGGCACCTCACTACCACCAAGAAAGAATAACCACCAAGAAAGAATAACAGAGTGTAGCACAGTGTCCTTGTGCTGAGGAACCTCCTAAACCCAGGGAAAGGTTGATGCCAAGACACATGAAAATCTCTAAGGTTCACCTCTACAGATGTTGAAAATGGATAAGAACCTTCCACTAGAGCAGACAGAAAAAGAAAACCTGCTTCTACAGCTGGTGTCCTGAATTTGGTGCTCTAGCCTGCTAAACTATGAAAGAATACATTTCCGTTTGTTAAAATGATCTACTTGTGATATTTCTGCTCTAAAATTACTAGATAACTAAGACAAGTGCTAACCATTTGTGCCACCCAAGGACTTTGCACTTAGATGAGTGACTGAAATATACTAAGACAAATAGGAGTCCTGTTGATGTAGTGGTCACTCACTGGGCTGTGATCCTCATGGTTGGCAGTTCCAACCACCAGCAGCTGCTTGGGAGAAAGACTGAGCTTTCTACTCCCATAAACAGTTACAGTCTCAGAAATCCAAAGGGAATCACTATCAGACAGCATTGACTTAATGGCAGTGAGTTTAAGTTATAATATATATATATAAAATTTGTTAAATAATGAGTATCAGAATCGGAGTACAATGCTGTGGTAGTTACATAATCTTATGTCAACTTGTGTGTATTAAGAGTGAAGGGGTGGAGTTTAGCTTGTCAATCAGGTTGAAGCTTGATTGGAGGGCAACCTAGATAAACGGCTCTCTGGAGTCAGGTCTCCCTCTCTCTCTCTGCCTTCACCTTCCTTTTGACATGCCAAGTGGAGACTTGCTGACACCTGTGAGAGCCCCTTTCTCTACTTCACCTTCCTGTTCAAGCTCTGCACTCAGAGAGGTAGAGAAGCCACAGGGAGACCTGCGCCAGCACTGAGATGCCATTGGATCCACAAGCCTTTGCATCCACCGACCTGAGATCTTCCTGCATTTTACCTCATTATATATGACTGTGCGAGTCTGAGGAGGGATTTCTAGACTAGTATCAGACTTATGGACTAATAGCAGACTTAATGACTTGATCTGGACGGGGCTTGGATGTCTTCTCAATATAAAGCTCTCTCTTACATGTATATGAGTGTCTCTGGATTTGTTGCTCTAGTCAACCCAGCCTGACACAAATGCAAACCATGGGAACAAATGCCATTATTTATTGGCACAATGTAAAATGAACTCAGGCTGTATTTAAATGGGAACAAACTTCATAAAGAGATTCTGTAGCCTATTTCTTATTATCAAAAATGTGATTTTCTCTTATAAGTTTCTTTGAAAAACAGAAGCTTGGTTTCCATAGTAAACCTGGAGGGCTTGGCTAACAAACTGAATTACCAATAGAAGGGGGGAAATGACCTAATCCAGGCCAAAATAAATGTGATTTTTTTAACCTTTGGCTGTTGAGTTCTTTTATTAATGTTACCCTTACAGCATAGTTAGTTTTGCAAAGCACTACAACATCCATGATTTATTTCACCCCATTGAGTGACTCTGGACACAACAGTGGATTGTATCTTGTTTTCTTCCTTATGGCAATGCTGATTCATACTTAGAGACAAACATCTAAGAAAAAACACTTTGGTTTCTGATTAGAAAAGTCAACCTATTCACCTGGATACCCTCTAGCCTGCAGATCCAGTTATGTTTTGGGCTAAAGATCTCTTGGATACTGTCATAAAAGTATGAAAGAACTGCTCTGAGACAAGAAAATAAAACTGGAGGATTTAATAGGTAGACAGGTATTTCAGGACAAATTAGTCACGTCCCCTCACTTTGTGGCTAGGGCAAGTGAGTCGGGAGTGACTTTCGAAGGTCTCACAGCAGACAAATTCTTTTGCCATCCAAATTTCCCAACCGGGCTGCCTTTGATTGCTAACATTCAAATCCAAACCCTTCATCTTTACCTTGAAGCGCTGGGTGAAAAAAGATATGGTATCTAGTACTGGTGGAAACTTCAGTAGCAGTGCTGCCTTTCAGAAGTGCCTGGTGGAAGATATCTGCTTCTGTCATTGCACAACCTTGGATGAACAAAAGAGTAATTAAAGCTTTGCTCCAAAACAGTGATTCATGGAACACTTTTCCCCAGACTGAGGAAGAGACAAGCAAAAAGAAAGGAGCCTCCTCACGCCCTGCAGCCCCACTGAGTTTCATGGTCCTACTTCCTTAATCCAAGGTGGCTAATCAATTTAGCAAGGAGCACTGGTGGAGCAGTGGGTATCATTTTTGGCTGCTAGCCTCAAGGTCAGCAGTTTGAAACCACCAGCCTCTCAAAGGGTAAACGTGGAAGCTTTCTACTCCCATACAGAGTTTTGCTATCAGAAACCCAAGGGGCAGTTCAACTCCGTCCTATGGGGTGGCAATGAGTTGTGAATGACTCCATGGCAGTGAGTGAGAATCTGTTCGGCTGATGTTCACTTCAGGTCTGTAGCATTAGCTCTAAAGCATGCAAACAATGAGGCAACAATTTTTCTGGAGACAAGTTTTTACTAACAAAGTATGGTGACATAACTAGGAAATAATGTGTGAATCATTTTAGCCCGTGCCACTAGTTATGTGCAAAATCAGAAAACCACATAAATGAATATTAACTCCACACAAATTGTCTATAAACTTTTATCTTCAGCAGGCCAGTATTTGCACTAAAATTTCACAGTAAGCATGAAGGATCACCAACATGAAATGATATGATGAAAATAGGAATTCATTGGGAAAAAATCCAATATGAAGCTAAGGGAAGTGGCAGAAGGGAGAAGCATCAAAAATGGTTGGGGAAAAAACCCTAAATTCGTTGAGGAACCCATGCATTTTGCGAGTATATATTCATGCATGATCAAATGATTTTAGGTCGACACCTAGCAGAGACACACAAATAGAGCTAGATCTGTGACATCATCTACAATCATATTGATGATTAAACCAGGCTTTGAGGTGAAACAGTATGTTTGACATGGGTACCCCAGGCATGTTTTCACTTACTGTGATTAAGCGTAAATGAACTTTCCAGGCTACTCAGGTGCTGAAGCCGGGCTTGCATTACTCCTGATCTGCAGGGTTTGCAATTTTTGGTCTATTCCAAAGTGTTTAGACAGCCAGGCCTCATTCACCCTGTAACAGACATTACAGTTAGGAAAGGGAGTGCTACAGTAATGTATCTCAAGCTTAGCTTCTTTCCAGTTAAAATGTAATAATCACCAGGCTCCCACCTATGCTCAGCATTCCATCATTCCAAGGATTAAATGGGGAATACCACTGGAAATGGAAAAAAACCTTCACCGTATCTTTAAAACTGTTTATACTGTAAGACCATAATGAAGAAACTTAACAGCTTCTCACTTCCCTTCTTTTCAAAAACCCCAGAGTTCAGTGGCCCATCCTCTGGTGAGATTCAGTCCTTCTGCAGGAGGAGAGGAAGGACAAGAGTCAGAGAAGACAGTGAGCTGTGTTGAACACGCAGTGTGGAAATAGGGTGAGGGGCGGGAATCCAGGAGTTTAGTACTCATAAATAAGCGGCATTTTAATCTGTTTCTGGCCTTGAGTTAAATTTGGATCCTGAATGTTTAATAGTCGTAAGAGTTATGAAGTTTATTTTCTTTTCATGATACGATTCCATTAAATAAAATTTACCATGAATAATGGTAAATGGTAAATAAAATTTACCATTAAATAAAATTTATAATGAACTGCGGAAGAGAAAGCGTTTTTCCTCTAGAAAACATAGCGAAATTGGTCGACAGGATACCAGTGGCTAAGGCTCATTGTGACAATGCCCATACCTGCTTCAAGAGGTGGCGGAAAGCAATGGAACATGGAACTCTTCATCTCAACTATCTAGTAGGAGATGTTCCAGAGACAAAACAGGAAATCCCATTCCAAGAGACTCTTTCATTTTCGGAAGTGCCCTGGAATTGAACTAAACAAAAGTGTATTGGGGTTACCTAGCTAAACTCTATCCTACAAAAAATCCTCTTGAAAAGGCCTGTCCAGTGTGCTTCAGACAATGGATGTGATAAGAGTTGTATGAGCCCCAAAATAAATTGATTTAAAAAAAGAAAAGGAGTTACCTTTGCCTTAGGGTACCTCAAATACTTCTTCATATATTTATTTCACTAAGGTTTAAAAAGCAAAACAAGAAAAAGGAGTGGATAATGTGCACTGTATCTCTCCATTGCTGTTGGGGATTTCCAGTTACCTTAGTAACTGATGCCCAGTATTTCTAGATTGTTGACAAAGTTACCAGCCTTGCAGCTGTCCTTTTTTTTAGAAATTCCTGCCTTCCCTGGAGCGCTGTCCTATTCTCAAGTCCTTCCAGAAAGACCAGCATCTGTTCTAGGGGCGATGAGATCTCACAAGATAGAAATTCTCCTTATCACAAGATAGAAATACTGCTCAACAGCCTAATCAGCCCTTTTGGAAAACTTTAAAATATATATTTACTTAAGTTTACACTGGTTTAAATTAAAACTTTATTATGTTAAGAACCATTCAATAAACCATGAATGTCCTAATGTCAATGCTTAGTGTCAGCTGACATTTCCCGCCACATTTTCAGAGATTTTAATTAAATGGTTATGTGCTGATTTTCCTGGGTCTTACATGGCGTGGCTAACACTGCCCTCTGTTGGAAGAGAAGGAAAACAGCAGAAATTACCTTGCTATGTCTTTATTCCCCATATATCTGAAGTCAAACAAGCATACTCTACAAAGAAAAGCAATAGCACATCAGGAAATATCATCATCATCTACAAGCTAACAAGTTGATAAAATCCCAACGTACAAAGAATGATTTAAGTCAGCTATCAATCGTACGCTCTGGTACACATAAATAAACACAGAACAACTTCCAAGCTTGCCAGATGACATCTTTACCCATTTAGTTTTAATGACTACATCACCACCAGAAAATGACACTTTATCATTCTAGCAACAGATTTTTGAAATACGATTGCCAATTCAAATAATCCATTGTGTGTGTAACATGTATGCACAGGTCTTTGACATCATCATTAGTACTAAAAAAAGATCCATCCTTTATTAAAGGGTACCAGTCCCCACAATCGAACAGGTCCAAGGGGTGGTTGTGTAATTGAGGGTTAAAATCAAAGAGACATCAGACAAGATAAAATATGCAAGTGCTCACCTCCAGGAAGGCCATGATCTCAGCAGCCAGGTTTGCGCAGAGAAATATTTCCAATCGCGCTTATATACATTTTCAGGGATGTGCAAGCCCCCCCTTATTACATCATAACCAGCAAGGGGTTGTACCATAGGCATACATGCAATAGGAAGGGGATGAGCTAGGGTTGTACATGCAGTATAATGGGGAAGCTCTAGGGGTACACATGTGACAAATGGGCGGACCCTAGATTCAACATGGCAGCCTAAGTTTGGTCCTCCTTGAGTTGGCTTGACCAAGTCTTTGGGCTCTCCTTCAGGGGAGAAATCCACTATCCTTATCAGCAGGGAGTGGGCCCTACTTAGGGTGGGACAGACTAAAGAGTCTGATTGCTCTAGATGGCTGATAACCGCATGGAGAAAACTTTTAAGCAGTTGACCTGCAAGCATATAGTCAATGACTATGTGTTCTTAGATTTGGCATATATTATGGGAGGACGAGGGGGGGGGTTGTTCTGTATCCCACAAATCCCCCTTTTATTTTATATATTAAATTGAAAAGAGCTACAAGGGCAACATGGTTATTTTCTATACACTGAAAGTTGCCGAGGCAAAAGTAATGACAATAACAATGCAGCCAAGCCAAAAATTTGAGCTATGGCAATTATTTTAAATCCAGGCTCAAGGGGTAACCACACCCCACCCCCAAGCCACACACACACACACACACACACACACACACACACAGCCCATTCACTATTTGGGGAAGGTTTGAGAGGGGTTGGATGACACAGCGGGAAGAGAGAGAGTAAAAAGGGATGTCTTCTATAGTTAAAGCTGCTGGCTACATAGCAATTAGCCATGTGCTTGTAAGAGGTAATTTTAAGATAGCACTATAACAGGAGGGTATAGTCAAGAACAATATTATGAGAATGTGATTGGGACTCACCTCCAACTCACAGGATGAAGGCCTTCCTCCACCCCCAGAAACCTAGCCTGACAGGCTTCTTAGTATATGAGAATAAAGGATTCATCCGTATACACTCTCTTCCTGTTCTCTGCTACCCACAAAAAAAAATCCCTTTTGTTTTATGTATAAATTTCAAAGAGCCATTGAGGCTACGTGATTTTCTTTCCTATGCCTTAGCTTTCTAGTAGAAGCAGCATGTAATTGCTGAGTATCAAAATTTTAATGAACACCAGTCAGACTAGAATTTAAGCTATGTGAAATACTCTGAACCCAAGCATGTGGGATCCAGCCTCTCTATGCCGTCCACCAATTGTTTAATCACCTTAGAGCTATGGGATACCTTAAATCTATCTTTGAATGTATATCAAATATGCTTTTTTAGCTGATTAACATCTAACGAAATGTTTCCCTTAAACCTCTGCCAATAGCTTATAATTAAGGCCCAATCCTGTTTAAGGTTACATTAAATCTGCAACATTTTAATATCAAATGATCAGATTATAGACTTTCAATATCATTTGATATTAAAATGTTGCAGATTTAATGTAAGGGAAACATAATGGTAGAAATTGCCAACCTCATGAGTTTGCGAGGTCTTCTTGACGTTTTTGGTAACTTCAGCAACAGGACAGGGGTCTCTTGGCTGTTTTCTCAACTCCCAGGTCACAGCATCAGCTTCCTTTCTTCTGGGCCTTGCTGGCTGAAGAAAAAACTCCACCTATCTCCTTTGCCTGTAAAAATATAAACAAATACTCCTCCCTGTGCGCTGTTAGCAACCTGGAAACAGAATCACGGTTAAGATTGAGTAGGTTCTTCATCTTTTCCTTGTCCTTCATCTTTTTCCAAACGTGGTTGCATCCTCCTAAGGGGAGTCCATCAGTTTTCTCCTACAAAAACATAAGTAAATAGCTCTTCCTCTAGGTTAGTTCTCAACCTGTGGGTCAAGACCCCTTTGGGGGTCAAACAACCTTTTCACAGGGGTCACCCTAAGACCATAGGAAAACACACATTTCTGATGGTCTTAGGAACCTAGATATTGCTCCTCTGTCCATTTCTAGGCGGGTCCGCCCACATGCAGATACGCCCACATCTGAGTACCCGGTGTGATGACATCGTCGCGTCAACCCCATCACATACACCCTGTACAAATACAGGTTGAGATAGTTTATTGTGCCAGCCTGGCTGATAAACGCAGGTGAGATTGACTGAGGGGCGGAGAGATAGATGGCTTGGTGAGCCTTGCCTTTCCTGTCTCTCGCTCTGTGATCATCAGACCAGTGTGCGGCTGCCTTGCTTGTTCTGTGCCTCAATTTAAAGGCTACACTGCCTGTGGGACGCCTAGCCTGTGGACTGTGTCGCTGTAAGTTGAGGTCCCTTTAAGACTTCTCTGGAGCTGGGGACTGGCCATTGGTGACCTGCCTTGTGATTGGCTGCTGTGCTGACACAGCCTAGCTCTCTCTACAAATAGAGGAAGATCTGGCATCAGACAGAGACTTGAAGGACTTCTAGTCTCTCAACTTTCTCTCACGGACGTGAGTTGCACTAAGCCATTTATAGTGCTTTCTAATTTAACTGTTTATTTCTTGTATTGTATAATTATCTGTATATAATTTAACAGTTCATTTCTCGTTATATGTCTAATTATCTTTATAAATAAATATATTATATTATCAGGAATTTGGTTTTATCTCTCTAGAGAACCCTGTCTAACACACGGGTGTATGTGAGAGGGTTGGCACCAAAACGTATTTATGCGGACCAGTCACACATGTGTAGAGAGCAGCTACTGTGTAGAGAGCACTGCTGTGTAGAGAGCAGCTGCTGTGTAGAAAGCAGCTGCTGTGTTGAAAGCAGCTACTCTGTTAAAAGCAGCTGCTGTGTTGAAAGCAGTAGTATTGGAGGTAAAACAACACTTCATGAATTATAATGACTGGGTAAATGTAAAATCATGTACTGTAAAATCATCAACTACTGTTAAAAAAATCAGTATCATAGGAACTTAATCTGGATGCTGATCGGACTTTTTATAGTCAGCTGTGGTTGATGTGAATACTGCCCCCTTGTGATAGTAACAGGTATGTAAATAAAACACAGAATGGTAAATCATAGAAAACTTTAATGAATTGTATTGACTGAACTATGCCATCTATCTTCTTCTGAATTATTAAAGCTATTGTTATACATTATTTTCATTAGCAAACCATCCTATGGCAATGGATCGTGTAGAGAAGAACGTTAAGAAAAGAAATTACAGTGAGGATTTTTTATAGTATGGTTTTACCTGAATAATTACAGCAGGAATTGAGAAACCGCAATGTGTTATTTGTTGTGAATTTCTATCAGCCGAATCTATAAAACAAACAAAGTAAAACAACATTTTGAAAGCAAGCATCCGAGCTTTGCCAGAAAGGATACCAACTATTTTAGAAGCCAAGCTGATGGACTCAAGAAAGCCAGACTTGACACTGGTAGCAAGTACCACAAACAAAACATAGCAGTTGTTGAAGTTTCATATTTGGGGCCACTCATAATTGCCAGAGATATGAAACCTCACACCATTGCTGAGGATTTACTGTTGCCAGTGGCCAAAGACATTGTTCGAGTTATGATCAGAGACAAATTTGTTATGAAATTGAGAGCAATTTCTTTATCTAACAACACGAAGAATAGTTGGCATGTCTGCTGATATTCTTGATCAGCTAATCTGGGAAATTAAATCTGCTCCACTTCCAATATTGAGCATCCAGCTTGACAAATCTACAAATGTTGCAAACTATTCACACTTACTGGTTTATATGAGGTATATTAATGATGGCGACTTTTAAGATGAGTTTCTTTTTTGCAAACCTCTTGAAAGGACAACTACTGCACGTGATGTATTTGACACAGTTGGTTCATTTCTGAAAGAGAATGAGAATTCTTGCAAAAAGGTTTGTGGCGTTTGCAGAGATGCTGCTCCAGCTATGCTAGGATGTCGATCTGGATTTCAATGTTTGGTACTGAATGAGTCACCAAAAGACATCAGCACTCACGGTATGATTCAGCGACAAATATTAGCATGGAAGATGCTGCCACAAGAGTTACAAGAAGTAACGAAAAGCATCATAAGTCCTGTCAATTTTGTAAAGGCAGTAGTATTGGAGGTAAAACAACACTTTAAACAGTCGACTGTTTTTGCACCTTTGCAAGGAGTTGGATGTGCTGAATAATGCTGAAGTGAGATGGTCGTTGAAAGGAAAACTTGAAAACGTGTTTTTGATCTTTGTGATGAACTCAAAACGTCTTTAAAGCAGAAAGCAGGATAAAAGTTTGAAGCACTTTTCAAAGATAAAAGTGCACTGTAGAAAATAGCTTTCTTGGTTGCCATCTTTGCCATCTTGAATGAGTTAAATTTATCACTGCAAGGATCAAATGCAACATGCCTCGATTTGTCTGAAAAGATCCAAGCATTCCAAAAGAAACTTCAGCTTTGGCAATAAAAAAATTGGATGAAAATAAAAGTTATATGTTGCCTACCTATCTGCTTTCTTTGAGGAACATGAATTGAACCAGACAAAAGGATTACGATGATAATTTCTGTGAAAGAACACTTGCACATGCTTCCAGACGAAATTTCATCCTACTTTCCAAATGTACCTGACACCTCTTTTGCACTTGTCAAAGTTGAAGATGTTTGTGAGACAGCACAAGAGGTGTTCATTGAACTTACTAACAGCGATGCAATGAGAACTGATTCCTCTACAATGGCAGTTACAAAATTCTGGATCAAGTGTTTGCAGTCATATCCTGTTCTGTCTGAGGCTGTGTTACGCCTTCTTCTTCCATTTCCAAAAACATATCTTTGTGAAACCAGCTTGTTGGTTATCAAGTCTAAATACAGAAGTAGACTTGTTGTGGAAGATGATCTTCATTGTGCTCTTGCAAAGACTGCCCCGAGAATTTCTGATCTGGTGAGAAAGAAGCTATCTCAACCTTTGTACTAACGTTTGGCTTTTTACACATACTGTCGCAAAATGTAGCAATGTAGTTTACTGTTGTTATATTAAGACTGTTACCCATGCTACACCATGCCTCAAGACAAAATTTCATTTTTTTGTAATTAGAAATAAATATTTCACAATATATAATTATATATTGTTTTTGTGATTAATCACTATGGTGCAGTTATGTTCAATGTGTAACAATGAAGATACATCCTGAAATTCAGATATTTACATTATGATGCATAACAGTAGCAAACTGACAATTATGAAGTAGCACCAAAAATAATTTTACGGTTGGGGGGGGTCACCACAACATGAGGAACTGTATTAAATGGTCGTGGCATTAGGAAGGTTGAGAACCACTGCTCTAGGTAATTAGTGGAACAGGATTCCAAACACAATTTACATCTTCCTGGGACTTCTAAGGATCAGCTTTTTCTGTAGAGGTGAAAATGTGCTTATCTACCTAAATTTTGTTACAAGCTTAGTAAGAAGAAAACTTTTTTAGTTAAAATGACTAAATCAAGTTTGTCACACATAGAATTTCTCTTCCTCTCCCCTGTCTGTTTTAACAATGGAGATTTCAAGGCACTGCAAGCAATCTCAGTTAACCTGCTTGGTTTTGAACCAGTAAAACTAATAAGATAAACTTCATTGCTATGTAAATTTCAGTTCCTTGCTCTCAGAGAATCAAGAGAGATCATTAGCTGTACTGGGAGCTTCTTAACACACTCAGGATAATTTGAAAGACTGAAAAAATTCTTAATAAATTCGTTCAGCTGTTTTTGAACTAACTTATCAAACAGACATTTTTTCCTCTGAGTTTACCAGTAAGGTTACAGGTTTGATTAAGCTGTATTGCCCTTCAGGATTTTTACACTGTAGGATTTACAATCTTGCAATATTCTGTCTTGGTTAACATCTCTTATTCCCTCCATGCAGGATTTGGTTGAATTAGTACGCAGATCTTAGGCCCTCTTTGATGCCCTAAGGAAGTGGCCCCTATCTATACTTGAAAAATCTTCCTCCTTCAAATTCTAATTCTATGTGGGAGCACTGTTGTTTCCCCACAAAAGCATTCAGAAAGTCCCCTTGATTTATAGGGCAGTCAGACTTCTCAGATCCTCTTTCCTTATAGGTATAAACTTTAACTCTAGAAATGCAAGGAAACAAAAATTGACTTAAGAGAGCTTCCTTCTTTAGTCAATTCATTCCAATCTGTGGGGATTAGACATTCAACCTCAGCTGGAGAGCTAATCATGCTGACCACAAAAGGAGGGGCTGGTCCATAGCTTGCCACTGCCTGTTTGATGGCCTTTATAATTTTAAAGGGGAAGCTATCATACTGTCATTCTTGATATCCCTGAGGATTGTCTGCATTTGGTGGCCTTTCTATTACATGAACAGGAAAATCTAGGCTGGTTTCCAAATCTACTTCTTTGGTAATACCTCCTTCTATCTGTGAAAGCAAGGGCACCTTACTACACTTTGCCTCTATTTTCTATGTTGGTTTTCTCAACTGATAGATCTCTAAACTTCACTTCCTGAACCTCATCATCTGTGTTAGCTCTCTTAGGTGCATTTCCTTGCGGCGAATCTCCTCATCTCTATCTCCTGCACTGGCTTGCTTTATAGTTTTATGATCCCTAGGCTTTTCTGCACTAAATTCCAGCAGGGCAGCAGATGCTTTTACTATGATGTCCGCTTCTGATTCAGGCTTAGTTTTCTAGCTCTGTGTAAAAGCTTCTCATCTGTTTGATACTTATTTTGGTTCACTTTTTCCTGCTTCTGTAATCTTGGAGAGTTTATTTCAGGCCGTACCTTACATTGATGTTCCTCTTTCTCCTGTCTGCAGGGATCCTAAAACGGTCTTAACTTGAGCCCACAGAGACCACATCTTCACAGGGATATTCTCTCTCTCTGTGTAAGCTTTCTATAAGTTTACAATGACTTTTTCCCAGGTCTCTAGATGGAAAGTTTCTTTCTC